TAATGATGTACCACCCATCAGGACATGCATAAAAAATGATGCTTCGAAGGATGATCACGACTTGATGCTTGAATTACGTAAATGTTCAAAATGATAGACCAGTTCACAAATAAAAATTTTTGTGAATACTTGTTCACATTGTGCAATATCAGATTTCTCTCTGACCTATACTATACCTCATCAACACGCACCCGGGAAGAAATAAAAAGAAACAAGGAATTCTTAATTCTTAGATAAAAAAAAAAAGAAGAAATATATACAAAAGTGAAAACGAGGGGAAAGTATACAGTTCCTTGGGAATTGTAAATAGAATCTGGATTACGTTTTAGTTATTTCCATGTTCATCCTTACAGTTAGTTAATATCACAAGCATTGTGCAACTAGACCTTGTAGATGGAAATTACCTTTTACCCAGATAAGTTATACTGCCTACAGGGGATATAACCACAGCTGTTCCCGTACAAAAAACTTCATCAGCATCAAGCAATTCCTCCACTGTAACTAACCGCTCCTCAACCTACATATCAAGAGAAAAACCTTATCATGCACTTAGCAAACTGAGCCCCTTTACCTCAGTCCCAGTGACAAATAAAGGACAGGTGCCAAAATTTCATTAGGGCATTATTGCATTTTTTTTCTCTATTCATCTAAAAGGAAGGGTGGCAATCTGATTATTTATCCATGTGGATCTGATATGGTATACTGAAAGGATATGCAGAAGGTATTGTCATGTATCACATACAGATGCTCTGTTGTAAGTATCTCCATACATATAGTGCCAAATCTGCTTGGAAGTTGAGAGAAGTACAGTATGAGAGATCATTATATTATATGTCCCTCTCCGAAACTATAAGTGGATCCAAGAAATTAGCATGGTCGTAAAGGGGCAAATAAAATGAGGGAACCATAACATTTTCCTGGACGGCTGACCATTGTTTAATTTCCAGTGGAAGCTTATATCCTGTGATGCACGGTTGATGTTTTAGAAGCTTAGTAAATACCTGATATCCTTGACTAATAGCAACATCAATTATACTCTTTCGTGTAATGCCTGGTAGGATGGTCCCTTTTATCGCGGGAGTAGATATCACATTACCCTGAAAATAAATTGAATTGATTTGAGATTAGCTTATACATTTCTTCCTTTGTGACCTTTCACAGAAAACAAGCACTACTTACACAACATACATTTTCATACAGGATATGAGTTGGACAGGACAAAAAATATGTACAATATTTAGCCTTTGTTTGGGCTCCATTTTATTCAAAATACATTTTTCGCTCTTCTTTTCAACCACACATTCTCCAATAAAATAATGTTACACGTAACTCCAAAACTTTTCCTTCTTTTTTAACCACACAGTTTTCAAAAAATTACTATTTCAAAATACATTTTTCCTCAAAATTTGATTTTAACGGAGCACAAACAAGGGCTTACTATTTGGATGGAAGATGGAATCTTTCGTCTCACATAGATGAGAAATTCATAACGAGCCTAGTAGTTGACTAACACAACTGTGTAACTATGAAACCTTCCCAGATATGGACATTAAATGGAATTGAGAGGCTAATTCTATCAAAAGTCTCCGCATTGCTCAAACACGTCTCCAAACCAAGTGCATGATTTTATATGAACCAAGTTCACCACAACCGAGTACTCTAAGAAGAGGCTTACCATTTCACCTGAGCCCCAATATATAACAACAAGAGCTCTCCCAACAAAATCCTGGAGCTCAGCCCTTGAAACCCACCGAGTTAAGAACACAAGGCAATGTGAAATACTGATACTGGCTTATCCAGATTCCTAGGTGTATCCACATGTGTAGCACTTGGCTTCTACTCTTCCAATTCAAATCCCTATTAGTTCTTACACTAAAAGGCCCACAAATGCAACAATTCAATTACCCCAAATCAATTGTTCAAAGAGGATATCCAATTGTTTGAATTCAATCCCCAACGGTCATGTGCTTTTAAAAATGTTCTAGTGGTAGGTGGCAAGGCACGAACTTTTTTGGTGGATATACTTGGCACTCAGAAGTTCATTAGTACATATAACCTTGCCCAATACTACCTAATAGTCCTACAATATTTTTACATCAATTTGCATTAATGTTCCAGTAAAACCCAATGAACCTGGAAGCAATGGGATGATGATTGTAAAGGCACTCCAAGGCATAGACATTACTATTTACTAGAGAACATTTATCATGATAATCCAATAATGTCAATGATAACGAAGTAGATAATGATACTTGCGTGATAGGTTTTAAAACATATAATCCTGGAAAATAAAAAGAAAGAAGTTTCAAATCCCTTCAGTGAAGTAAAAACATGTATAGATATTTATGGAAGAATTTATAATTAAAGCAATTCAGTGATGAGTTCAGTAAATGTGGAATTATTAATTCACGTTACAGGTTAAGCTACAGTTACACCCCATGGTTACAGTTGGAGTAGGACTTTGGGCCTTTGATGAGAAAGAATGTGACTTGTTCAACCTCTCCTAGATGTCAAAATCTTATTCCGTGTCAAATCATCACCTTATGTAAAAGTATTTGTCAACCAAATGAGCAATTTTTTTCAACATTTATAATTTTAAAGTAACCAATATAGTTCCTAAAACCAAAGGCAGTAAATGAAATGAAGTAAAACTAAAGAATAAAATGTATAATTGTTTTAAACAATGACCTTCATCATGCAATCCATTTACAAAAACACAAGAAACACATATAAGACAATCTTTTTTAACCCCAGTATCGAGAATAATAACATATTATCCCATTATCATATATGTGATGCATTTTTGAGCTAATTCAACAAATAGTTTACCTTCACAACAAATACATTGCAAGAGGACACCTCTTCTAGATATCTTTTCTGAGCACTATCCAGATACAGAACATCAGAAAACCCTTTTGCTTTTGCAGCACTCTGAGCCTTTAGAACCTATAAAATACAGTGTAGAAAATAAAAAGGATGCATCAGAATATCACGAATCCATATTTGAAGGCTAGACTATTAAAGAAAACCTCCTTAGATTAGTTTACACAGTTCCCTTTCCTGGATATAGAGGGTAGCAGTTCACAAGTCGAGTTCAAAAATTGTTAGCTGATATGAATGCATTGCAATAATAAGTGGCTAAGCACCCTTTGCATCCTGGTTGAGCAAGGGTTTAACGCAGTTCAAAAGCAATGTGAATATTTACAGAATATTATGCACTTTGGTAAAAAGGAAAATCGAGAAAATAACCAAGAGGGGAGAAGCATAGAATATCGTGGATATCTACCAGGCTCCAGATGGAAGAGAAAGCAGAATCATTAAGTTAACATGCAGACTTTAGCAAAAGTAAAGTTCAGCATGCAAGTAAGTGTAGAGGAAGAACTCTGATGCAGCACCAATGAGACAGTTAATTGAGAAATAAAACAGAGCTATGGGGAGGGAGAATTAGAGAGGAGAAAGGAAAGGGGATTCAACAGAAGAGAAGAAAGAAAACAAGAAGAGAGAAAACACCATAAGCCATCAAAAATATTCATTCATCATTAACTGAAAATTACAATGCAAAATAGGTTTAAATAGTAAAGCAACCCTAACGAGCTTGGGCCCGAGCCCATACAAGTCCAAATTTAAATAATAATCCAAGAAAATAAATAAAGCTTAAATAAAATAAGTAAACATTGTCCGATGTCTTCATCAACTCTCCCGAGGTGGCAGAAAAACTCGACCCTGTCAAATTGATAGATAGTATAGGCTGCAGTCAATCTCATACTCCAAATGTTTCAAGTCAAGCCACGGGGGACGATTTTTCTGACGAACCAAGTAACGAAATTCCATAATTGATAGTACTGAAAACTGTAGCTTATTTCCAAGAATATGATCTGATCAAGGGGGCCGATCTTTCCTTCTAACCAAGTACTGATACTGGACTTCAAATAACCAATACTCATGCACCTCATCTTCAACATTTTCACATGATTGTACATAATGAAGAGCATAAGAAGTACGTCGATCTACCCAACAAACAAGGAAGTACTGAATTGTGCCATCATTGGTCAATACAACACGTTCATCTAAAATAACATCAATTTTATCTTTGTGTGCTGTGATAGATGGTATTAAAGTAGAAATATCAATATAGTCAAATTGGGGATCCACAAAGTTAGGTAGAAATGGATCATCATAGGAAGTAATACGGTATTTGTAAGTAATGAAGTCCTCAATATTTAAAGCAGAGTAGTGGCTAAAATGTGATGAAAGGACAATGACATGTGCATTTGAACCAACATGCTTTAAAATTTTTAAAGGACCAGCAATACAAGCTTGCAATATGACATAATCCCCAATATTAAATTCAAAATATCGTTTATCCGAATCAGCTTGAAGTTTATATGATGCATTACTTGCGCCATGTTGTTTATTGATCTCAATATGCAAATCATGAAGATAATATACAAATGCTTCAGCTGACAACAACACACTAGCATGCGGGGACATGGGAATAAGATCTAACGATCGCCTAGACTTATAACTATGAACAACTTCAAATGGATTTAGACCTAGAGACCGATTCATAAAATTGTTATATGCGATGTGAACAGTTGGAGGGATCGAGTCCCAATTCTCAAGATTTTTCTGGACTAGAGACTGTAATAAATTGCCAAGACTTCGGTTAGCAATTTCGTTTTGACCATCAGTTTGAGGTTGGTCAGTAGTGGAGAATTTCGATTTAGTACTAAGAACAAGCGACTAGTTTCTCCAAAGGTGACTAGTGAAATCATCAAACTCTTTGAGTTGGGTAAGGGTATGACATATAACATGTGATCGAGAGTTGTCGGAAACAAGGGATATAGTTTCTAAAGTCTCGGGAAGGGTCGGGATTCCACTTAAGGAAGTGTCCTCACTATAATCATCAAAATCTTCAAGTTTAGGGCCATATGCTAGATCTTCTAACAACTCTTCTATTGCATTCTTTCGTTCTTCTATGACTAAGGCTCGGTTAGGACATTTGGAAGAGATGTGACCAAAATCCTTACAGATGATGCATAGCAAGTGAGAAGTCTTTGGAGTTTCACAAATTATACCCTTATTTTCCAAAATTGGAGGAACATTAGACGGGGGAGGTCCTAGAAGAGACTTAACAG